CTTCTTTTCCTTCTTCCACTGAGGGTGGTCGTCCAGAGATTCTGATGGGGGTTATATTGTTAGGGGAAAAGAATGTCCTAAAGCTAATTCCATACAGGCTTTGTGGACTCCACCCTCATCCCAGGCCAAAGCCAAAGACACTGGGAACTCCAAACCCCATCACCACCAAAGGGAAGGTGGCTGGGACCTGAGGGTGGGGTTAATCAGCCAGGTTGGTATAAAGCCAGACACGTGGGCTTTGGAGGGGTCCCCCATTTTGGCTCTCCACCAGCTCGCAGCATCCGGCCAGCTCGGAGAGTGATTTTTGGGTTTCCAGGTTGGCAGATCGGGTAGGACGCATTAAAGACTTTATTTCCCTATTTTCTCCCTGAGTTGTACATTTTCCTTATTTCCTTTTCCCTTGTAAATAAGCCTTTTATTAACCTTTTGTGTGTGCCTGCAGTGGAGTATTAACAAGTCCCTTGTAAGCACGCGGGTGAGGACCCACAGCCAGGCAACCCGTTCAATATCAGGGCTGCCCTATAATAATATCACCCCCTGGGAAGTGTAAATGAGTTTTACCTTGAAACCACTGTTGGAGGCACAAAGGAAGCCATCCCATAGCCTCTGGGCTCTTCTAGATTGGCAAATAAACAAACACATATCAGACCAACTGATAAGAAAATAAGTCGAAAGAATTTTAATAATGACATGCATGTCTCTTCTATCTGTGGGAGAGGCCCAGCATGATGTTAAATGCCATTGTTGATGCTAAGACAAAAGGACTTTGAGGTGAGAAAAGGGAAGGTGAGTTAGGGAGTTTACCAGGGAATGCACAGCCAACTGTGGTATGCAGATTTAAGTTCTACCTTTTTCATTGAGAAGACATAAAGAGACCATGTTTTCCTGGGATACACCCTGACATAGAGAAGTTTACATGTAAATATCTTTTTCAAATCTAACCTCTATGCAGCTTTGAGAACCCAGCCCATGAGCTCAATCTCTTGCCAAAAAGATGTATTTTGGCGTGGCAAATTTTTGCTCTCCTACAATACTCTCCAATCTGCCTTCTCTACTATTGTTTTTGTTTTTTTAATAAAACCTACTTGTGACTGTGATAATTGATTACTTTTGTTTGAGGTCAAGGGAACTCAGGGGAAAGAAAAGCAATAAAACAATGGGATAAGAGTGAGCATCTGGGATAAAGTCCAGAATTCCTGTTTCACGTTCAAATTTGGTTCTTTCACCATAATTATCCAAGTGAGAAAGTCTCCTTTATTTCTGATACTAAGCTGTTTTTTCCCCTCCTGGTAGATGACATCATGATTTCTTTTAGGAAGTAAAGGAATAAGGAAGAAAGCTATAGCCTAAGTCTTCACTTACTCAGTAATGTTTGGATGGCAAAGCCTGTGTCCCAAAGGAGGAGCTGAGATTCTAGGGTCAGGGCAGATGTAAAAGCAGATAATTTCAGATGCAAATGATACCCATTGATGGGGAACAGAACTTGTTACCCAAAAATATGCCTCTTTGGCACAAACATTATTTTGAACTGTTTTTAAAAGAAATGGAAGACAAAGGAAAAGCTCTGAAAAAGGAGTTTTATGTTACCCTTTTGTTAGAGACAGTTACAAGAAAGGCCTTCAAGACACGAGGGATGACCAAATTTCTAGAAACTTGTCAGTGGAGAAGAACATAACTTAAATCTGCATAACATCTATGTATTCACTTACTATGCTTTGCCTCATAACTCCCATAAGCATCTTCTCCTATCCCTAAGGCTTTCTCTCCTCTTTCATTAAGGGTGTTATTTAAGTATGTTTTGGGCTACTTTGAAGTGTTTTCCATTTTCTTGGGTCTTTCCCAGGAACATAAGCGGTATACATGTGATGGAAGTATGCACCTCAAGACATGCCGATTTGATATTGAATGGTCCATGCCTCACCTTTCGGATATGTAGATTATTTACAGCTAAGGTCAATGAGCCCCTGCAGGCTCATGAGAAACTTTCATGTCTCTCCTAACTAACGAAAAGAATGAAAATTTGGTATATTACCAAATTATATATAAATATAAAACCTAAAAGAAAATTTTCAAATTTTGTTTTGCTTTACCAGATACAGACTTTCTTTCTGGCAGGACAAACACTCAATTACAGAGCATCTGGTCACGTGAATCCCTCTTCTCTTCCTGAGATTCCTCCTCTCACCTTGAAACCCAGCTCTTGTCCCATTAGGGGGAAATGATGTCCTGAGCTAAGCCCATACAGGCTTTGTGGACCCCACCCCCACTCCAGACTAAAGCCATAAAGACATTGGGAAAGACAAATCCCATCACCACCAAGGGAGGGTGGCTGGGACCTGAGGGTGGAGTTTAGCAGCCAGGTTGGGTATAAAAACCAAACACGTGGGCCTTGGGGTCTCTTGCTCTGTCACTCGCCTCCTGGCTTCACGGCTCCTGGCTTGCAGCCAGCTCTCAGAGCGCCATTTGGGATTCCAGATCGGTGGATCAGGTAGGACGCATTTAAAACTTTGTCTCCCACTTTTCTCCCTGAGCTGTACATTTCCTCATTTCCCCTTCCCTTGTAAATAAACCTTTTATGAACCTTTCGCGTGTGCCTGCAGTAGAGCATTGATAAGTCCTTTAAAGCGCGTGGGTGAGGACCCACAGTCAGGCACCCTGTTTTGTATTGGGGTTGCTCTACAACAGTCCCATTCCTTAGCTCAGGATATATAGCCCTGTATATAGCTTTAGAATCCACTTATGTGTGAATTCTCCATACATATGTAATCAAATTTGTCCTTTTATCCTGCTAAATTGTCTGATGTGGATTGCTTGACCAGCTCAAGAAGAACCCAGAGGGGTGAGGGAAATTTCCTTTCTTTCCTAACATTATTAAACTTCTGCTTGTTTTTCTCCTGTTAATCTGTCTTTTATTACAGAGCATGTCTCGGTTGAGAATTTAGAGAGGAAGTAAGAAAAGTATGTTTCCTTGTCCACAACGTGCTATGAAGACTTGACAAAGTGGACTTGATCAGCTCTAGACTGGAGGGAGGAGTTGGAAGGTGTAAGGGAGCAAAATTTGCCTCTCTGAAATGTCTCTTTGCCATAAGGATTATTTTAGGCTGGTGGTTTTAGGAAATAGCAAACATATTATAGAAGGAATTGGGAGGCTGCTGCCCTGAAGGGAGCTGGAGTTTTTGGAGAGGACCTGTCTACTCTGTGTGTGGAGTTCCAGGCATTAAAAGTTCTGCAAACAGAACTTCTTACAGAATTGACTCCTGGTCTCTGAGGACATGCTGGCTTGTGCACATGTTCCCTATTAACTAGAAAACTTGTTTTCGGCAGTAATTTATTAATCTGTATAAGTATAAACACAATTGCATGCTATTTTCTTATTCCTTTTTTCATATATTCCATAAAAGCTTGGGCTGGGCAAGTGAAAGGCAGACTACTCTCGACGGCTCTCTCCCCAGCCTCCCCCTGCTGCAAATTCATTTAGACTCTGAGTCTTCATTAATGGCAGAGAACTTCATGGGCTGTCCTGACCGTGGCAAGAAGGGGCTCTGAAACCTGGATAGAGGTTTCAGTTTTGCAAGAGACATACATGGAAATGTTTCTTACAAAAGTAAAACCTCTACCCAGATATTTAGGAAGGAAATAAAAGGTGATTTATAATCCTTTATGAAAAAGAGTTTGGAGTAGAGGCAGGGATTCTCAGAATGGGGAGCTGAGCGGCCTGCCTGACATCAACATGAGTTTATCAGCCTTTAATTGGGACAAATCAGATGTACGTAAAGACTATCCAAGAATAAATGTTCGAGGATCTTGTTCTGGCCAAGCCCCTTAACTCTACAGAAGGCAGAAGATGAGGCCCAGAGACGGAAGGTTAGGACCTCTGGGCATCTCTTAGTTTACTCCTGCTCAGGAATCCCTGTCTTGGGATGTGCTAGCTGTGAACCCACTAACTCACTGGGAAACAGGAAGCAATGCCTCCTAGGAACCTCCTTTTAAAGAGATGACTCTCACAGTGGCCTTGGGGTGTCTGCCCAAGAAGCACCCCCCTCTGTTCAGGGCCCGCTATGTTTGTGCTGGGTGACCTCACTCAGCCGGCCTTGGAACATGGGCCAGGGAAGCTCTGGCTGGGGTGAGTGGGAACCAGACTCCCGGGGGGGGGTCTCTGGGTGTGCCTGCCAGGGCTTTCTGTGTCCCTGGATGAGGACCAAGGGGAAGCTGCAATGTCTTTATCCAATCAAGAGCTGATGCGCCAACAGGGAGAGCTGGTGTGAGAGGGACGGCGAAGTGAAGGGGGCATGCAGGACAAGCAGTGAGGGCTGTGTGGTTTCAGGAAGAGAGAGGCACAAAGGTGGTTCCTCTTTCTGCAGCCACACCTCCTCTGAGCAGGGAAGCACCTTGCAGAGTCCTCCCCTGATGAAAAACAGGCTCCCCCTCCCAAGCCCTGACCCCAAGCCTGTCATTTTCCCAGCAACTTGGAGGGGCCTCATATGTGCAGGTGAGAAGAAACATTTTCTGTTTGTGGCATCTTTGTGAAGAACTTTGTAGAGTTCCAAAAGGGGCGTCCGCTCTCCCAAGCTCTATGGCTACATCCCCATGGGTGATTTCCACAGGCACTCCCATCTTCACCTTCCAGAGCAAGCCCTGCTGCGTACAGCTAGGGGAGTGTCCCTGCACCCACAGCCAGCAGTGCCCCCGCACCCAGGGCCCTGGGCAGGGAGTGTGGCTGTGGGCACAGTGAAGCATGTCTGTGGTATAGTAGGGCCCGGGGAGCAATGAAGACCTGTCTTCCCTGAAGCAGGAACTGTGAAAATGACCCCCTATAAGTTCCCATTGGAATCCTTGTGACCATGACAGAAATGCATCAGAGGAATCAGGGTGAAAGCAAATCAGTCCCTTCAATGTGTCAGCCATCAGGATGGGGCACTGGGGAAGGTGTCACCCCCTCCCTGCCCTCCAGCAACCTCACACCTCTGCCCTGGAGTTACAACACATGCCAGCTTCTGGTGAAGATGGAGCCAAAGACACCTGGCAAGTTTATTTTCAAGGTCTTGCTAATGAATGAGGAAGTCAGCCCAAGAGAGGCAGCAGGGTCCCAACACGGGGGCAAAAAGGGAAGACACGCAGAGAGTTAAGCCAGGGAAGCTCACCGCTTTCCCCAAGCCTCGCCCAGCCTGGGGTCTGTGGACGCTAACACTGTCTACGTGATCTGAGGGAACCGGAAGAGCCAGAGGGTGATGGGAAGCCAGGGCCAGAGGGAAGTGAAGGCTGCTACCCAGTGACTTCTCAGAACAGCCCTGCCAGGAGGACAGGCAGGAGGATCATGGGCCAGACCACCAGGAATCCTGAAATGCAAGAGAGATGAGTGTTAGGTGTCAGGCTCTGGAACTCAGCAGCGGAAGAGAACCAGCCCCTGGCTTCTGGTGCGCAAGGGCGACAAAGGCAGACGATCCAGCATAGGACTGGCAGGGAATAATGGAGCTGTCAGAAGCTACCAGAAGATAGGACCTGGGCCTCCCTGATGCAGGGGTTAAAGATAATGCTATCAAGCTATCGCCAGCCACTGAAGCACGAGTTTGATCCCTGGCTTGCCAGAGAGCAACCCACATGGTGCAGCAGACCTTCCTGTCTCGCCTGCTGCTCCCCTCAGCAGTGTATTTCAGTAGATCCAACTGTTTTGCTCCCCACTCTCTCTGGTGAACCCTCTCACCCCCTATACCTCTGGCCTACACCCCAGTTCTTGTATGCATAAATAAATAGATCTTTAAAAAAAAAAAGATAGGACCCAAATTCCTAATGACCTGAGGCTCAGAACTGTACCCCAGGGAGTTAGCGGGCAATAAACTATTGTCTAAATGTAGGGAGATGCAGGGAGTGTTTGTCATAGACGCCAGCATTACTTCTTCTAATACTGAAGAGGCAGAAAGACAAAGTTATGGAGCACTGCCTGCCTCTGTGGCCTGATGACAGCCCAGAATCTCAGCTCTACGACTAGCTGTGCAGGCCCAACTGAGCCTCTCTCTGCCTCTGTTCCCCTGAATACAAACAGACATATTACTAGCAGCTATTATCTGGGGGGATTTTTGTAAGACTTAAGTGAGTCAATTCCTGTCAAGTATTTGGAACAATGCCTGGCATTTGGTAAACATCACACAAGTGCTGATTTTGAAAATGAGAGTCTGGGAGGTTTTTGCACATTTCTTTACATTCAGTGTTTATGCATCCTGGGAGATCATGGCCTTGCTTTGGGGAGGGGAGGCACTAGGAGAAGCTTTGCACCCCCTCTCACCATATGCCAGATTACAATCTCCCCCCATGCCCTAAATTTCAAATTAACTTGTTGTTTTCCTAGAAGGGAAGGGGAGAAGACTATTGTCATTATAATAAATGTGAGCGTATGACTGTCAGGTTGCAATTATGAAATGAATGTTGGTGTTCAATTAAATCCAAAACAGCAAAAATGGTTGTGGGAGATACACACAAGGAAAACCCTACTTGCCTTCTTGTGGTGGCTGCTTTATCAGAGTGAATCTCTCTTCTTCCAGATGCCTCTAGAATCTGCTATTCACCCCAGATATTAGTCAATTTGCAAACCCTACTGAAAAGCCAGGCCGTTCAGACACTGAGCTCACCTAAAGCACCAGGACTGAAAGGGACTGAGACCTCTGCTCTCAAGCTGCTTTAAGTCTGACCTGTAACTACTCCCTCCCATAAGTGCTACTTTTTTGAGCATTGTCAGAATATTAGCACTGAGCATGGGAAGTCCATCGTGAACTTCTTGGCAAACTTTTAGATTATTGTCTAGCTGGGATTTGAAGATGGGTATAACTTCGACATATCTGGGTTATCGAATACAGGCCACTTTCTGGGGTAGCAAAATCGTAATAGTATCGCTTTCTTTTGGTCTCAAATATGTTCCTTGGACTTGCCTGCCACTTAAACTCTAATTAATTCATCAGAACTCCATTCAGATCTTACCACCTGATACATTTTTCCCTGATCTTTTCCAATACGGTTAATTACTTCTCAGTGAGTTCCCTGTCCACTGTGTACTAATTTGGGATTTATTTGCTTATAAACGTGTCTCATTTTTGTAATTGTTCGTTCTGCCTATGGGCTTTGTTCCTCTTATATTTGCACACTGGTTCCTTTTTCTTACTTGGTAACTTTATATTGCCTCCTCTGAAAAATTTTCTGACTGATCATTCAATTGTATCGTTTTTCTTCCTATATTTTTAGCAGAACATATCAAACATCGGTTGGGCACACGGCCACCAAAGATAAAGACTATCTTTCCCAGCTTCCTCTGCAGCCAGGTGTGGCCATTTGACTAAGTCCTGCCTAATGAGATATAAGCAGAGTATAAGGAATTGACTTCTTCCCTGTTCCTTCCATCCTGCTGCCTAGATATGAAAGTTTGAGCTCCAGCCGCCATCTTGGTCTATGAAGACCAATGGCCACACCTTGGAGATGGTGGAGGTGTGAGCTGGAAGGGCCTGAATTCTTGATGACTTTGTGGTTCCACCCCACGACCCTGGGTTGCTTACCTCTGGACTTCTTTATGTCTGAGAGTAACACACTTCTGTCTTATTTAAGGTGTCATTACCCAAGCCAGTAACTTTCCACCCCATCAACCTTTTTTATTTTTAAATCACCTTAACTTTTCATTGCCTGTTTCCCAAATGGAAAGTAAGCTCCATGAGGGCCTGTGTCTGTTACCACTCCATCTTCAGTACTTAGAGCAAAGCCTGGCACAGCGGCTACTTGATAAATATTTGTTCTAAGATGACTTGCTCCCTGTTGGACTGAGCATCTCGACAGCCAATCCTGGGTCTGATCCATTTCAGTCTCCATGTTGCCTAGCCCAGGGCCTGACACTAGAAGAGACTACTTGAATGTGCACTGAAGTGAAAGGAAGGAGAGAGAGCCCGGGGGAGGGCTGAGGGGAGCCAGCGGAGCTGTGTACCTGCAGTGTCAGGGCTGCCACTCACGAGACCAAGAGACTGGGCTGGGCCACCTGAAGACAAGAGCAGAAGGAGAAGGTTTGCTTAGACTGCAGTGAGTGTGGCACACGGCTGCTGCTCCAATCCCTTCTGGGCTTGGCATCACACCACTGGCAATCCACTCTGTGGGGCACCTGTTACTAGCAGGCACCTTTCTAAATGCATCCCATTTAGAATGGATTTGAAATGCAATCCCCCTAACAGATCTATGAGGGCAGTCTTATCCCCACTGGACAGATGGGAGACTGAGGCTGGGGATGGGTAGACTTCCTATGCTGACCTGGCTAGGAAGTAACAGGGCTGGGATTTGAATCTCAGTTTGATTTCAAAGTGGAAGTTCCTTGCCCCTCATCTACCCTGTGACACCCCACGGGGCTTCAAGGTGAAGGCCCGGTAAGGGGCAGGACACCCAGGGCAGAACCTCCTTCACGAGACAGGCTCAGTTTACTCATTGTGAGAGTGGAAGGGGTAGTGGGGTTTGCTTCACAGGCTACTGTGAGCATTCCATGTGCTAATTCATAGGCCGTGTCTTCAGCTTAGCACCAGGCTCAAATCCTCCTCCTCAACATCGCCACTCCTACATCCTAATTTCTTTAGGACAAAAGCATGCTTTCCTTCTTTTGAGTTTCTTGACTCCTCCATTCTGATTGGAATAAAAACCATGACCACTAAACTGCAGGTAGGATGGGTGAAAATTCTAGGAGCCGTTGATAAGCTTGCCCAACCTCCCACCTATCATACTGTCAGTGGCCTTTGAAAACCAATTGTTCACCAGACAACAGCACAGTTGGGTCAGGATTTAGAATTTATCCCAAAGGGACTAAGAACATGGGAGCAGGCAAAACAAGGGAAAGGACTCAGGATTTGGAATGAGACCCAGCTGGGTTCAATTGTTACTCCAGCTTCTCACGAGTGGGTGACCTTGGGTACATCACCTAGTCATTCTGAGCTTCAGTTCCTCACCCATGAAGTCAGGGGAGGATTGAGTGAGGAATGGACACTGAGAGCTCAGTCAGGCCTTTAGCAGTGGGGAGGCCTGGCACAAGTGGTCAGTGCTGGGGCATTGTCACCCAAAGCCCCTCTTGGAAAGACAAACCGGCACTGAGGAGGCAGAAAAAGACTAGGTTTTTGAGTTGGTGACTGCAGGGACCTGTGGTCAACTGTCAACTCTTGTCCAGCTGGCCTTATCTCTAGGACTCACCTTTCCGAGTGATGGGTCCCAAATCCAGAACCTGGTCTGAGTTGATGGCTGTGATTTCACTGCGGAGTTGTTTTCCTGAGCAAGACTACAGGGAAGGAGAACTCTGGTTATGCGACAATTTAAAGGCATGGCTCCTGTCAGATTGCACCTGCAGTGGGGGGGCAGCTCTGGCCTAAGAACCAGGCCCACCCACCCTGTGGCCCTAACTAATGCTGCTCTTATCTCCATCTGGAATTCTTTCTGCCGTGTCATGCACACACAGGTTTGAAGTTCATCTCCATTCTCTTAGTGTCCAATTTGAGACAAACAACATCAATTCTCTACACTATTATTCAATAGTACTTTTCTGTGTGTGATAGTTAAGACCAGCCATGTCTACACATGCAGGCACATAGTATTACCTGACAAAGTCAGCCATTAGCAGGCGAATGGGGGTCAAGAACATGGGCACAGGAGTCACACGACAGCCAGGGCAGATCCCAGCTGATCTCTTCTACCTGTGTGACCTCTGGCAAGGGAATGCTCTAAGTTTCACTTCCCTCATCTGTATAACGGGGCTGAACAAAGAATCTACTTAAAGGGTTGTTGTGAGAACTACATTAACTATGGCATATGAAAGTTTTAGTAGTTCTGGGATGGAGTAAGCACCACACAAGCCAACTATTATTATCTTGTGCCAAGGAAACTTACTGGACAGGTGCCTCCATCTGATCTGCCTCTTAGGGACACAGTGACAGTTTACAGGTAAGCTTTTAGGAAGACTAAAGTCCAACCATTCATCCTTCCTTCTTCTCTTCATCACTCCATCCCTCCACCCATTCATCATCCAATTCTTCAACTCTTTATCCATCTGTCCAATCTCCTCTCCTCTCCCCTCCTCTACCTTCCCAGGCCCTCCCCTCCCTTCCTTCTGTCTGTTTGTCTTTCTTCCCATTCATCCAGGATTCCAATAAATACGTATGGAGAGTCTACTAGGTACCAAATCCCACGCCAGGCTCTGAATAGCCCAACCCAGAATGATACTCACTGGCTTGCACTGTTGAGTAACAGAATCACAGAGCTGAATCTCACAATGCAGGAATACCAGGTCATAATGTCCAATAAACGCAAACATCTGAACTGAGAACCGGCCTTCTGAAGAGACCCCATTCTCTTCCACGAAGATTGTGGAATCAATGCGATTTGGACAGCTGGGAGGGAGACAGGGCAAAGTTCTAACTTCTAGACCAGCTCAGGAGTCCTGAGCCCCTTGCCACATTTTAAATCTGTCCCCAGTATAAAAACACCATCAGAGAGAATGAACATCCCTTATACCCCTCCACAGACAACATGGACTCTATTCCTGCAGGTTACCCTAAGCCCACATAGTTTAAGTTTTAGGGGCACAGTCTTTGGAATGAGGCAGACTGGTTTCAAGTTCTTACCAGCTCCACTTTGCAGCTAAGTGATTATGAACCTACTACTTAAAACTTATAGTGTCTCACTTTTCTTATTCAAAAAGTGGAGGCAGGAATATTCATCTCCGAGGGTTGATGTGAGCAAGACTGAATCAGCTAATTCATGTACACCACTTAGCACAGAGCTTGGCACTGTAGCTAAACTCAGAGAGAAATACCGATGAGTATTATTTCTGTGGTTTGAATCATGATCTATATACATGCGTTTTCTCTTCGTTTTCACCAGTTAACAACAGTCAGTATTTTGTCCCATAGCACTAGCCATTCTGTTTTCATGTTGATCATTCAGTATTACTATCCGCACATTGTCCCTCATTACTTAATTGATAACCCATTTTTGAACTGCGAGCCTACTGCCAAAGTTATCCAGAGTACTGCAATGAAAAATAGTTATTATTTCTTTACCCTGCTGACCTATTTTGCATCAATGCTTTAGGCTAAAAGTTCAGGACTGATATTCCTGCTCAAGAGGGGTGGACATGATATGCCACACCAAATGATTTTTCAAAAGGGCTCAACCAGGGGCCTCCCTGGTGGCTCAGGCGGTTGAGCGCGGCGTTGTGAAGCTGTCGCAGCCTCTGCAGTGCCAGTTCTATCCCCGCCAGCCTCGAAGCAACCGCAACCTACATGGCAAGCAGACCTCTCCTGTCTTGCCCGCTGCTCCCCTCAGCAGTGTATTTCAGTCAGTCTGCCTGTTCTGCTCCCCACTCTGTCTCTGGTGAATCCTCTCACCATCCTGTGCATCTGGCCTGTACCCTGGCTCTTGTATAAATAAAAAGAAAATATTAAAGAAAAAACAAAAACTTTAATACAAAAAAAAAGGATCAAACACTTTACTCAACTTCCAGGCAGACATGAAGGGATCATTCCACCTCACACCCCCCCCATGTTGGCCCAAAAAATAACCCCAGAGGACCTCTGTGGTAGCACAAGGGGTTAAGTCTCAGCACTGGGAAGCTATCCACAGCCACTGCAGTATGGGTTTGAACCCTGGCCAGGGAGCTGACCCACATGGCGCAGCAGACCTCTCCTGTCTCTCCCGCTGCTCCCCTCAGCAGTGTGTTTCAGTAGATCTGCCTGTTCTGCTCCCCACTCTGTCTCTGGTGAATCCTCTCACCTCCCCACTTCTGGCTTGCACCCCAGCTCTTGCATGCATACATGCATAAATATTTTTAAGAAAACAACCCAGAGTTGTCCCATACCCATTTTTGATGATGAAATATTTCACAGGGTCATTCTTCTTGCTCGTGGGCGTGGCGTAGCAATTCTTCAGCACCAGATTGAAGCGGGACTTGTCCCCTGTCTCCAACATGGCACCCACATAGAGCATGGATTCTACCGGCAGCACAGCCTCTTCCCCTTCGAAAGGAGACACGTAGTTCCCGTCCTTGAAGAGGGCCATCCTGACGACAAACTCACCCTTCCCATCCACGCTGATATTCTGAGAACTGAGAAAAGCGAAACCACAAAAGGGGAAACATCAGGTTTTGAGCACCGAGAACTAAGGAAATCGAGTCCCATGCATGGGCACGGTTATAAAGGCCAAGGCACATCTTTGATTCCTGAGTGAATTTATTCAAACATTCATTGAAATCAAGACATTGACAGAGAAGTGAACCTCCCGGCTTCCCACGAACTCTTGTCTGCATCAGGGCTCACCCCTCCATCCCCGCCTCCCTCCCCTGGTGGGTGTTCCATCTCCTCCCCTGCAGGATGGGGCTTGGCACCAGTTTTGTGGATTCACAATTTTCAGCAGCAGGTCACCTCCCTACAGCCACAATCTTGAGTGGCTTGCCAATTTTAAGACCATAAACGATGGCTTCGATGGATCTTGTACCCTAACACAATGCAGTCAAAAACTAGAAAATCGAACTAGAAAATTTCCAATCCTGCCATTCTGTGAGCCCAGGAGGCAATGAAGGGAGTGCTAAGGGCAACCCTGGACTTCTGAAAACTCGAGAAACTCCATTGGCAAGTCTAGAAATGCCATGGAATTCATTGAACAGGGCCTCATTCTAGGCACAGTGATACAGCAGCAAGCAAAATGGGCAAAACCCCAGCTCAAAACCAAATTGCTACTTGGTTCTATGTCTGGTGAATTCGGGTGCTGTTTATCTAGTCAAAGCTGATCTAGGCTTACATCCTACTTGCGCAAGCTTAAATCCTGCTCCCACCATTCTCTCTACCAGGATGAGGTCAGAGGCCCTCGTTCCCTTATCTCTCAGCACCCCACGCTTCTCCTCCACTGCGTTCATCCCACTTGTAAATAATTATTGATATAATTAGTTGTTTAATGCTTTTCTTCCTCAAGAAAAACGACTTTGCTGTGGGTTTTTGTTCCTAAGCATATTTAATTAAGTTTCATGTTGCTGCATTGCTTCATAACGATAATCTTTAATATCCACAAAATATTCCATGTCTGCCTTGTTCATGCTGAACATTACTATGTGATCAGCAAATATTTGTGGATCAGTGCTCAAAGGAACAGAAGCTCCTGAAGGAGGCAGGTGGGCACCGCAAGTCTTGCTTGAAGTGACCCATGCCAGAGGCATGGGTCAAAGGCCAAGGTCAGCAGTGTACCTTAAAATGGGCCGCAGAGCAGTCTGGAGGCTGTGGTACATGGTCAGCGGGTAGGCACACTGGAAGTTGATGTTGAGGTTGTTGTCCCTGATGATGACATTGCTGGCCAAGGAGAGGGTGTTTTCGTAGATGGCGTGAGTTTCGTTTTTCTTGGGCATAAAAACAAGACCACATGTCTATTTGTGTGTATGTGTATAGGAGCATCTAGAGCTCACAGCCGTGTGACTCCACTGTTGGCGTTGCTCGTCATGGTGCCACCTTGCCTTCTGACCTCAAGGAGGCACGTGGGCCTCCTCCCTATGGCAGTGGCACCTTATGGGGACGGGAATGAGGATCCTAGATCAGAAACTAGAACTAGAACAGTAAGATACTGACCCTTGAGAAGAGTCAGAAGCACTTGGCTTACTCGTCTGTTGACCCCTCCCACATCACCCCTAATTAAAGTAATCATAATCATCGTGGCTTACCTTTACTGGACTCAAGCATCAGACCTGTCCTAAGCTCTGTTCGTTGACCAAGGTGTATAATCTTACATGCCTCCTAGAAGCCCAGAGAGGCTAAGTAACTTGTCCAAGTTTGCACAGCTGCTGAGAGGGGTCCTACTAGTCCAACTTCCACCTTCTGGCTACAGTTGTGTGAAAACCCACTCACCTCCAGAATGTTCCCACAGGCAGCCACCTGTGTAGGACTGGTCATCGACAGCCAGTTCCCTTCCTCTTTTTGCATGAAATTGCTGCAGTTCGAGTCTCGCAGGTAGCCAATGACCTGGTCCTCAAAACCCAAGGCTTCCAGCTGACACTTGTCCACAAACACTTTCATCTCCTCAGCCCCACAGTCCAGCCGAGGATGCAAATTTTGAACATCTGGAAAGCAGAGAGGGGAGTAGGTAGAGTGGATGGGGATCTAGAAGCAACAGACAGACCACATTCCTTGCCTTTGGGGGAAGTCATCACGTCCTCCAGGAGTGGGGTAGAGTAGAAGGGGTCTGGGACTCAGGTGGGGTTCAAGCCTGGGTTTGCTGCAGTGAGGCTGACAAAACAGGCCCAGGTTCAAGATTTCCAGGCACCTCATGTACAGGTTTTTTTGAGGGCTTTCCTCTCTGATTCACGTGGGGAATTGTGGTCTCTGGGGAAACAGGCCTGTCCCAAATTCCAGACCGGAATCAAAGCTAGATCTGCACTGGAGAAGCACGCACCTTCCTGGGTTTCCAAAGCCGACATGTCTGATCAGGTCCAGAGCCCTTGTATTCATTCATTCATTCAATCATTCATTCATCCAACACTATTCAAAGGAAACTTCTCAAGCATCTACTATCTGCCAGGCACTATTCTAGCACTGCTAATCAAAACTGACAAAACCTCACTCTTCTAGAGCTAGCATTCTGACAGGGGAGGTAGAAAGTAAATCAAGAGAAATAGAGTTTCTGAAACCCCCCAGCCCCCTCTACCACCTACCCAGCACATCTCCCTCCTCCAGCCCAGAGCCTTGCAATCACTCACCAGAGGCTTGCAGGTCCTTTCTGCAGACACAGCCCCAGACGCCACCGTCGACAAGCTTACACTCCTCCTCTGAGCGACAGGTCTTGTTACACTTGTCTGGCACAGTGGTGGGTTCTGGGGATGCAGAATGAAGGGAGAGGATAAGGATGCAGAGTAGGGTGGCCCTGAGACCACCAAGGTCAAGGGCATGGAAGTCCTGCCCCAGGCCAGAAATTCACCACGATTCTTAGTGGCAGGTCAAGCCTCAGTCTCAGATTTCTTGACTCCCCAAGTGGTGATGTAAAAGCCCTGAAGTTGCCTTCTTAAGACTGACCACATGGCAGACACCGTTCTGAGTACTTGCCACAGGCTAGCTCATTCACATGCCCTGCTGGCTACGTGGGGCCGGCTGGCATGAGGGGAAGCATGTGGAATATGGGGCCTGGGGCCCAGGGTTCACATCTCAGCTCTACCACAGTTCCAGCTCTGTGATATTGGGACACATCACTCTGCCTCAAGCCTCTCCACTGAGGACAGTTATTATAGTGCCTGTTCTATGTTGATTAGAAGTTTTTTTTTTTTTAAAAGATTTATTTATTTATACAAGCACTGGGTACAGTCAGAAGCGCGGGAGGGTGAGAGAATTCACCAGAGCCAGAGCGGGGAACAGAACAGGCAGACAGACGAAGTACACTGCTGAGGGGAGCAGCGGGTGGCAGGAGAGGTCTGAGAGCCATGTGGGACCCTCGCCGGTGGCTGGGGATCGAACCAGCTCTGCAGAGGCTGCCAGCAGCTTCTCAGCCCAGCGCTAAACCACTGGCCACCTGGGTAGGCTCCCTCGATTAGAAGTTTAAATGAGTTAATAACCTGCAGCCCTCAGGATAGGGACAAGGACATGATAAGCACTGTACATTACCCTTTTTTGTTGCCATTATCCTTTTTTTTTTCAGGTCAGAAAACAGACGTTCAAAAGGGTAAATTAAACTGAGCCTGAGTCTTAATAGGATCCTGCACATACATACAAATAATTACATAGGTCTTGTTAATTAATGTTAATTTAACGGTGTATTCACACAAAAACAATCAGGAGATTTCACCTTTGAATCTGAATTTTTGGCTTTACTTGAAACATAGGACGGCCGTGTCACCTTGGGCAATCTCCCAGGGGGCAGGAAGGGCCAAGCGCTGGGTGGGGGCTCTTTGCCTAGACTCCTTTAGATCTGCCCCACCCACCCTCCTGAGCCCTGGACATGTCCCACAGCAGCCCTGACCCGCAGATGCCAGTGGCTCTCTCTGCTCACCTGTGCAATATGCCAGATTGCAAGCGGGGGCGCCCTGCAGTCGGTACACATAGTAGTTGTCCTGGCAGGCCTTCACCTGCACCTGGCTCTTCCATAAGCAGCAGTTGCCGCTCCAGTGGGCACAAGCTGTGCGGTTGACGATGCCCTCCTCGACCATGGGGTGGGACCCATTGAGCCACATGGGAGCGGCTGTCTGGCATCGGAAAGGTGGGATGCAGACCTCGGGCATCTTGCTTCCTCCTTCCCCCACAAAGCGGTACCAGCCGAACAGGTTGGTGTCACACTTCAGGGTGCTATCGTTTTCGTTCTCTATGCTTCGGAAGGGTTCGTCCAGGACGGTGTAACTCTCGCAGGGGTCAAAACAGACTCCAGCCTGTGGGGTGCCAGGGTCTCCACATTCCAAGTCCAGCACCTTGGAGCTGGCCTTCTCCTGTTTTCTGTAACCTGGGAAGTGAAGTGTGCTGTTGTTAACTGAGCCAGCCCAGAGCCTGTGCTTTGTTTATCTCCCCGACACGCTCTAGTTTGGATGTGCTGAGGGCTCAAAAAAAGGACAAGAGGCACATAATCCATTAATTAAACATCAGTCCTGGGGTCAGAATAATAATGAGGTCTTCGGTGGGATTTTATAGTCATGGAGAACATCAGAGTTCTGACCATAAATAAATAAAATTGAAAAGGAATTAAAAATCAAGAAATAGGGCCTCCCCTGGTGGCGCAGCCGTTGAACGCTGGGCTGCGAGGCTGCCCGCAGCCTCTGCAGCGCCGGTTCATTCCCTGGCTGCTGGTGAGGGTCCCACAAAAAAAAAAAAATCGAGAAATAAGGTCATTTTTCCTGTTTTTCTCTCTGCTAGTGGGGAGAAAAGGGAAATACCTACACAGCCCTGGGGGCGTCAGTCACGCTGAACTGGCCCCTGGGCTTGTGCAGTGCGCGCCTTAAGCAACTGTACATGTGCTCCTGTCCCACCAAGAGTTGCTCTTCTCATGCTAAATGTAATACAGGCTCATTGGAAAAAAGCCTCAAACATTATTGAAATGAATAAGGTAGAAGTGAAAGTTGTTTTAAGTCCATTCTCTCCCCCAGCAGTAACTGAAAATATGTTGTATCATCTTCTGGTCTTTTCTAGGCGGATGTTTAAAATATAAGATTTTCTTTTAAAATAAAAAATGTGTTTGATGCTATGCAGGTTTTTTCCCCTTGCATTTTTTTTAATTTAATGTTTCATAGATGAGCTTCCATTATCAGCTCATCTAGTTACAGATCTAACACAGGAACTGTCAGACTCAGCACTGTTCTGTCCTCACCACGCTGTTGTGGGGGGTCATTCTGTGTATTCGGGGATATTTAGCAGCGGTCCTGGGATCTTTTCATGTGAAGCCAGTAGCACTTTCCTCCTAAAGTTGCCTCCAGTTGCCAAAACTCCTCTGGAGGGCAAAATCACCCCCATAGAACCACTGGCTCAAAGGGACCCCTGTGTGATTGCTAATCACAAATTTCAGATTCAGGGACTGCCATGTGAAGCTGCAGAGGAGTGAGAGGGAGTGGGAACAGGCTGATCAGTCTGGGTTTAAATCCATTTCAGCACCTGCTGACTGGCTGACCTTGGCAGATGGTTGAACTCCCCTGAGACTCATCTGCAAAACAACACCTGTGAGCTAGTTGTTCTCAAACTTCATGCATTCCCACGCCCCAGTGGCAATGTTTGCCACACCAGTGCTCTGTCCTATTATGCACTAAATATGTTTCATTCAATAATTGTCTCTAAAGATTCATTTCATCCTAACGAATAAGATCTGTGTTAGCCTAGGTATGATGTACTAGTTATATTTTTTAATATCCATGGGAATATATATATATACAATCCTTCAAAAAATTATTTAAGAGTTCACCAAGCACCCCACCGTCATCTGGGATATATTTACCCTGATTTGGGAAATAAAGCCCAGATCAGAGGAGAAAGAAGATGGTAGGTGGAAAATGCCAAGTACAGCATCTGGGTGCTAACAGGAGTTCAAGTTAGTTCTCTAGTTCTGATTTGTTCAATACAGCGGGCACCTGAATGATGAGCCAATGCTGGCAGGACCCCATTGTCTTAATACAACTCCGAGGGACTTTTAGCAAAAGCGGTTTGTAAGCCTCACTTATGGATGTGCCTGCTTGAGGGAACAGAGTTGCCGCACATGTTACTCTTGGCCTGTTTCCTGCTTACACTGTATTTTCCCAAGGAAAGGTAGGAGCCGAGTCCCTTTCTCCTCCCCCCTAAAACCCTACCTGCAGGTGATGCGAAATTTCCATCCTGGTGTCTAGCCCAGAACATTTCCTACAAGTTCCTAAAATGCCCAAGCCATAGATCGTTGGAAGAACTGCAGAGAGATGATCAAATCTAGTTCATTTGTTTTATAGACGCGCAAACTGGTTTGGAGGGAGGAAGCACTTGCTAAAAAAAGGATACAAAGAGCCTGGATATTCCAAGTTCTCATAAATCCTGGAGCCTCTCTCTCCCCCATATCTAATAAGGGAAGTTATGTTAACTAGCTCTGATTTTCCTTTCAGGGAGTATTTCTGATTTGATTCTGAGAGACTATGACTTGATTCTGGCTCCTCTTATTGTGTCCCCTTGACTTCTAGCTTCTGGGTCACTGCTTCAGACATACCCCTGTTCCTTTCACTGACCCTGAGGCCCCTTCTCTGCTCACTCCCCTGGTATGGCTGGGCCTCTGTGATACCAGGCGAGTAGAGCACTCACCTTCCTCCTGTGTGGATGCCAGGGTCAGAATGTAGGAGGCCAAGGCCAGCCATAGAACAGAAGAGCCCCCCATACTTCCCAGGAGCCAAGACACGCAGGTCACTCAGCAGTGTGCGGTTTTTCCATGCACCTAGGGGAGGGGAAAGAACCAGAGATGATCAGGATGGTAGAGGGTGTCCTCAGGGTACCAGGGTAAGAAGAGAAACACATCAGTTCAGTATCATCACCCTACTAAGCCCCTTGCATCCCTTGGCTCATTTAAGGTTCTCAACCACCCTCCAGGGAAGGTACTATTATTGTTCCCATTTCAAAGAGGAAGAAGCTGAGACTCTGAGTATATTCATCCCAGAAATATTTACTGATTATATTAATCCCAGAAATATTTACTGAGTGCCTCCCATGTGTAGCCACAGTGTTGAAAGATAAATAAGTTGCATAAGTCGCACACCCAGGTTCTCAGAAACGAACCCAGGATTGCCCTCAGAAAGGGCTGTATTGTTTCATTGCAGGCATGACTTACAGAAATAAGGTGGGGTAATAAGAGGGGTTATTGCCAATCTCACTTGCCAAGGGCGTAAGGTTCACAGCAAGAAAGCCACAGGCTATCTTAGAACTGGCTGCCAGTGCAGAATGTCCTAGAAGGTCTCAGATTGGTTCCTATTCAGGTGGTGATAGAGCTTTTGGAGACTGGCTGGAGGGGAAGCTTATGGTGCTATGAATACCTACAGAGAAGAGTCATGGCTGCCCCTGTGTGGTTCCCTTTTCCCCTAACAGTTCTATGCATCAGGCACTGTGCTAAGAGCCCCCTGCAGTGTCCTCTATGGGTATAGATTTCCGTGAGGCTGGGCCCACATCAGACTAAGCTCCTTATCGCTTCCCCTAGCACAGTGCCTGGTGCACAATGGCTGCCCAATAAAGGTTTAAGAGATGAGTGAATAAATCAGTGTGTGTGTGGCGGGGGGGGGGGGGGGGGGGGGGGGGGGGGGGGGAGGGCGGGGGGCAGGAAAGGAGGTAGAAACAAAGTGCTGTGAAGGGCCTGCCAACTCTCAAATTAATAACATTTCCTCTTCTGGGAAAGTCTTTCCTCAAGTGAGCACGTCTTTGGATGACTTCTTAAAGCCCCAGGAAGACTTTGGTTGAAGATAGATATCTGTTTCTGGAAGGGATGTCATGGCTATGTTAGAGAATCACCCAGGACAGCTAATTCTGAGAGATGAGATCCTCCGTAGAGGCCCATCTTCCTGGTAGGGGTGTCTGGGGAGAAGGGTGCAGGGGCATCTTGAGCTATGGAGCAATCAGCGGGCAGCTGGGATCAGCGCTGGACACAGAGGGCTATCTGGAGTACATGACTTAGGGCTAAGTTCTAAACTCCTCGCTGGTTCTGAAAGTTTCCAGAAATAGATAACCCTGGCAAGTCCAGTGAGTTAAGTGCAAGGGAGAACCCTCTACTGTCAGAACACAGTCTTGTTGGGTCTTAAATCAGGACTTACCTTGGAATAAGAACACAGAGTGATCCTTCTCCTCTGGCCAGCCGTGGGAATGTGAGCCTGCTGTGAACTGTTGTTTTATTGCAATTCCCGCCCATGTGGCTCCCCATGATTGGTGCTGAGCTCTGACTGCAGTTAAGCTCCTAGCCATACACGGGACTTGCCGAGTGTAGGTAAGATAAATGATTTGCCACAAAGGATGGCAAAAGAGGGAATCTTTGCTCACCCCAATGGAAACCCTTCTAACAGTCTCACCTTCTCACGAATGCTTCTGCAGAAACCATGGGCATGTGTCCTGAGTGCTGAGTGCGCTGGGTACTGCATCGCAGCCCTACTTCTCACATTTAATCTTCACAATAAACCAAAGAATCTGATGCCATATTTATGACCAGAAACCAAACACTAATCAGAAGGAAGCCAAATACCCGAAAGGATGTAGAGAGAAATCAAACAGGCACTTGTTTACACAGTGGCTTTCCAAATGTACCTTGTGTTCTTGTGTAATCCCCTTAGAACACTTTTGCTTCTGTCTGAATGCCACTTAGCTTGGTGTCTCCTTTGAATCATAAAGCATTCCCCTCCAGTCTCCACTTCCTCTCCCAAGCTGATTAGGCAATATTCCCCCTTTTCACAGTCAGTTCCTCTGTCCCTCTTCTGACTTCTTCATTCCAGTCTGAACTATGTAAATGTCATCTCTTCAGCCACTTTATTGGGTATTTGTTCCCAGCACTGGGCCACTAGATTTGTTTGCTGTTTCCTCTGGGTTCTCTGCATTTCCTTGACTCCCCTGTGCCACTGTTTTTTAGTCTCCTCTACCTATTTGGATACTTGTGTTCTACCATTATCCTGATCATTACCTTCTTCCTCCAGCTGTCCTGGAGAATGCTGGCAAGTCTTATTTTTTTAGTCACTCTGTATCCTTCCCCGCGGGGGTGTCAAGTTATCACATGGTGTTGAGTATCATCCATAGTCTGGTGACTTCCAAATCTGTATCTCATCCCTGACTACCCCCTCAAACTTCTGATCCATCTGCCTAGTTGTCTGCTGCACCTCTTTGCTTTGACTGAGATGCTTGAGGCAGTTGTTCCAAATCTGAGCTCATTGATTGCCATAAGATGCTCTCTCCTCATTGCATCATCTTATCCTCATCACTGGCACCACAGCTCATCTGGTCACTAAAGCTAGAAACCTGGCTTCTTCCTTTCTATTAGGTTCTTTTCCTTTCTAGGCTCATTTCTTTCTCCCTCAGCGCTCACCAAGTCTTCAAATATTTCTTGAATCTGTCTTTCCTTCTTCATCGTCACTTCCTAATCCTAATTTGGGTCACCACCATCTCTAATGGGGTTGATTTTAAAAGCTGCCTAATGGTTCTCCTTGCTTTCATTCTTGTCCCTCTTAATACTGCTCTCTCCCCTGCAGCCAGACACAGTATTATCTCTCAGCATCCTCCACTCCTAGCACTCAATGCTTCCTGAGATCTGACCCCTCTCCACACCCCCCACCTCATCTAAAGCCTCAATCAGCTTGAGGTTCTGTGCTCCAGTCAGTCTGAGTTTCTCTGAACTCTTCCCCAACTCCAAACGTTTGCATAAGCCATTCCTTCTGCCTGGCTCACTCTATACCAGCTTCCTACTATTTATCGTTTAGAGTCACCACTTCCAGGAATCCCTTCTTAAGCACAGGCTCACTGGTGGTTCTCTTCTCTGCTCCTCTGCTTCCCTGGGCTGATTCCAGTCCCACCCAGTTACCTACTATCTTATCTGTCTCCCTTTGAAGGCTGTAAGGGCTTTGGGCACAGGAAGCCTGCTCTGCTGTTGTAGTCAGCATCTAGTAAGTACTAGCTGGGTGAATAAAGGGACAACAGCACAAAATGCATGAGATCTCCCCTGTGAGTAGTGCCCCCAGTGCATGACTGTCCAAGTTTCAGTCACTGTCCTGCCTCAAGCCTTGGCACTTGCTGGTCCCATTATCGCCACTGTTCCTCCTCACACATCTCCTTGATTAACTCCCTTTTCGCAGCTTCTGCATTTCAGAAAGACCTCCCCTAACCAATCTATGTAGAACAACATTCCCATTATTCTATTGTCTTCCCCTTTTTTCTTATTCCCCAAAAGTGCTGTCAGCACCTGACATCTCACATCGTCATAGTTTAAATGTGCCCTCTTTGTAATTTTTTGGCAAAGAGTTTTATTAATTAGCACGGCATGACACCTTGTATTTAGAATATAACTTGCTGAGCACTTATGATGAGAAGCTAGGACATAAGGTCGTATTTAAAAGAAAGTACCATACAGTTCATATAAACAAAACAGACATGGAAAATGTAATTTAGTTTGTGCATGACAGCAAAAATGGCAGCTAATTTTACCAGTGTCCTATAGATAAAATGTAAAATGTCTTCAATTAGGGAAATTTTAAGTTGTGTTGTTTTATGTCACACTCTTTTATATTGTTCTGCTACTTGCCAGAGAAATACAAACCAGGCATTGCGGTTCCTACGTTTCAGAAAACATATGATTTGCCATCTTCAGTCAATAAATGTCAATCAATCCCAAGTAGGTTACTTGTAAACCAAAATAGTTTCCTACCCCTCTTTTAAATCCAAGTTCCTTACCAGCAAGGGCTCTATTCTGATTCCTTGCTGTTTCCTTGGTGCCCTGGCCTTGAACATATGCTCAAAATATCTGCTATATATTGAGCCAAATAACTAACTGATGGAAAACAAGAAAGGAAAGAAAAAGAGAAGGAAAAGAGAAGGAAAAGGAACCAAGTGATAAGAAAGTTTCATTCTAATGTGCCTCCCCCACCCAGCCCAAGTCTTGCTTTTGGCCCTTGTTTTTCTTTGTCCATATGTTCTGTTGTACCAGAGTCAAGGTACAGATGAATCCGCATAGGTCCCAGCCAGGCTAAACTGACCGTGCACTGACCACCGACGGGGCTGGGCTCAGCCTCAGGGTCCTCCTCTGATGCAAAGCTCTTATGTAAAGACAGTAGGCGTGGTGCTTCAGTGCATGTCTGTGTGTGATAAGAGGCTGTTCCCACAGCCCCTGTTTGCTGATACACACGTGTGGTTTTTCCTGGGACCAAAGAACTTTGACAATGAAACAGGGACTTGGGATTTCTCGGAAAGCCACGGACAGAGTCCAGAGAAGCAGCTGGCATCAGGGCAGACATTTCTCATTGGCATTGGCTTCCTTTTGCCCATATCACAAGGTCATCCATAGGCCCTTGGGATATCTTGGTCTCCTAAGTCCAGCAGGTTCTTGATTTCTCACTGTGGCTCCCAGGAGCCTCCTGGAGGATCTCTTTTGCAAAGCATCCCCTCCCAATGGGGGTAGTTGGTCTGCTCTCCACTGTTGCTGCAGTTGTAGCTCTGTAAACAGGCAATGTCTTCTGAACTGAGAGGGAGAAGTGTAGCATTGGAGGGGGTCCTCAGGATGTGCCAGATACAGATGTTTATTCCAGTTGACTCTAAGGATTGTGAGATTTTTGAGGGCAGGGAATGTGTCTGTCTTTATTCATCAGTGTTTCCCCAGTACTTAGCACAGTGCCTGGCACATATTGGGTACTCTAAGAAATGTTTCTGGAAAATGGAATGAAACCCATGAGGGCATCATTATTAAACCATTAGGCAAAAGGAATAGTACCTATTATACCCTTCACTTGCAATGATAGACACACTTATTCAAGTTCCCCTTTCCCTCCAGACTATACGCTACAGGAGTGCAAGTAATTGCTCTGATTTGTTCGTTGCTGTTCCTCCAGCAGTCGACATAGTGCCTAGCCATAGCAGGTGCTCAGAAGATATTTCTTGAATGAATGGATGGGGAGAGCTCAGAGACCTTTAGCTAAGGTCACACAGTGAGCCAGAGTTGAACCCAATCTCTCTGACAAAACTGTGAATTTCATGAAGGCAGAGATGGAGTCGGATTTTTCCCATCATGGGATCGTCAGCACCAAGGACAGTACCTACACACTCTAGATGCTCAATCAATGCTTGTTGAATGAATGAACAACTTCACAGAATGAGCTTTAAAAATTATTATTATCTTGCCACACTCTTTAAGGAGATAGGGACCCATTTTGAGAGAAGGCATTTAAAGACACGGGCTGTTTTTTTGAAGCAAGTATTAAAGGGGAGAAAATAGGAGTATGAGTTCCCTTTACTGTGACTAAAGCACTAGACTGCATCCCTTCCCAGTCAGCAGGAAGTGAGTTGGTAGCCACACAGCACAGGGGCTCCAGCTTCCCATCACTGGGCCATCAGGGTCAAGGTGGCCGACAGAAGCAAAGGCAGCCAGACCTTCAGAAGCCCTGAAAGAAAAGCAATTACAAGATTGTTGCTAGCACGATGTGTCTTTGTACAAAATTAACAGCAGATGCCTCCTATGGACTGACCAATTAGGAAAACACCCTCTCTGGGCTGACCAGTAAGAAAAGGAAAATTTCTCTGCATCTGCCCTAAAGACCAATTAGAAGACCTGTCTACTGTAGGTGGAAAAATAATTGGTCTTCTAAGTAAGAACAATTTGGGGGAAAGTAGCCTTTTCTCTGGCACTGGGCTTGGTATCCCCTCAAAAGGGCACTCTTGTGCAGTGTCCAACATACTCAACCATCCTGGGCAACCTTAGGATACAAGCTTCTTAGGGCTCTTGTGCAGTGTCCAACCAACTCAACCATCTGGGGCAATCTTAAAGATACCAGCCTCTTAGGAGCACTGAGGGCAAAGGTCTCCAGCTCCTAGCTCTCCAGTATTGGGTAGAACTAGCTCAGGCCAAACACTAGTTGGTATCAGAACCTTCTCTGATCTAGGTGCCAGGAGCCAAGAAGGGTAACAATTACATGGAATCATTTTTAACTTAGATTTTTAGACAATTCAGTAGCCATGTAAATCAAGGGCCACAAAAATGCCACCAATCCCTGGCCTTTGTGGTTGGAGGCGCAAAGCAGGAGAAAAACAGGGTTTTCTCTTTGTCTGTTGGGTTCAGGTTGGGACAAGGCATGGCACTTGGCATGCAGTAGCACTCAATATATGTTTGTC